GAACTGAGCAGTTTGTTCGAACGATGAAGGTAAACTTCGAATACATAGCAAATGCATTTGTTATTTTTTTGAGCTTTAAGTGAAAGTAAAGTGATAGAAGAGAAGTAACTGAACTTAAATTGACCTGAAAAGTCTTTTATTTTTGTGTAATGCCCACAGAAAGTAGAACTCGTCTTAAAAAAAGGAAACTGGTATTTATATAGAAATTGAAGATATGTAGGTGTTTTAAATTAGATTTACATTTTAGAACAAATCATTAGTGGTCTGTTCAGCTGGATCAGATATCCGAAATTAACTGTTTTATTTATAATGGTACTTATTTATTTATTGATTAATTCACTTGGGAAATATTTGGCTTATCCTGATGAGCAACATAATCAACCAACGAAAATAAACTATTCCAGTAGGTAAAAGGAAATACATTGAAAACAAATACTACATCGATTTTTTCTGTCGATTTTTTCTTTCACAAGAAAAAGTCTGATTTTACAGAAAAAATATCTTTTTCAGTTATAAATATATTTGTTTGAAACATTAATAGTATATCAACTCTGTAAATTATATTCAGATGATCGAATAAGAATACTTTATTTTTCATGTATTTATCTTGAATTTTTCTGTTAGTATTCGAGATTGTAGAGGATTCTTGTATAATAAAATAATAGACGCTTTCATTAATAGATTTTATTGAAAATGGTCGAAGTGTTAAAATTGGTGAGGGTTTGCATCTGGTTGAAAAATTTAAAGAGTTTTTGATGACGAAGAATACTTTTCAGACGAAGTTTAAGATTCAATAAATAATGACTACTTAACCCTTTGAGGACTGAATTTTTTTTCAATTGAAAAACGGTTCTTCAATGAACCTGCTATATTTGGCTCAAAATGATCAGATAAAAACCTCATAACGATGTATCGAGAAAAAAGAGGTTGAAATCATGCGTTATTATATAGTAGGAGAAAGAAAGGAAGATATCTGAGAAGGATCTATACGATAGGAAGAAAGAGAGAAAAGACCTGCATGAGATGCCAGGTAGGCGACCTATTTACCTTGAAGATTATAACAGTTTAATATGGAGCAAACATTTTCTTTACTGAAAACTAAGTGGAACAACGTATGTCCCATGGTCCTCAAAGGGTTAATTAATAATAGTGATGATTAAGAGTTTTTCAAACTATCTAGATATTCGAATCTATGTTATTAAATAAAGTTAGCTTCTATATTTAGAATTTTGTTTTCGAAAGAATTTTTTAAAAAATTTGATACTTTCTGTTCAAATCGAAATAAATAATAAATTATATTAAATAAAATAGATAAATCGGCGAATAATGATATATTATTAATTTATATTTACGCTGGCACGCATTCTCATGCATACGGAAATTTAAAATATTTTATCGATAAATGTGTTCGTCAAGGAGATCATGTTGATTATTACTTTATATTACAACAAGTTGATAATAAACCAATAAATGAGAGTGATATGCCATTATTAACATCAAACAGTGCTTATTATATTCAACATGAAAATAAATGTTTTGATTTTGGCACTGTTGGATGGTT